TTCCAGAATTTTTATGAACAATTTTCTAGGGAGTGTAGAACTCCAGCATGCTGTGGAGAATTAAGACAAAATTAAGTAACATAATGAAAATGGAAACTCCACTTGTTGTTCTACATGCAGGACATGTGTGGAAATAATTGTGAATTGTTTCCAGGCAGAAGGGTCTAGACAATTTAAATAAATAAATAAAATTTTGAAATGGAAATGACATTAGACAAGAATCAGTTGTGACACTGTGACAATAATTTGAACAAATCAGTATAGTTGAAATGCACTGTCTCTCTTTTAAACATCAGAATATTCCCAAATGTTTTTAATATACCCTGAAATTATTTGTTTTGCATCTAGTCTCTGCTTGTTTAATACTGGATAATACAGCAGTATAGCAAAAACACAGCAGCTCATTCATTACTCATGTGGAATGAACTTTTTACTGCCTTTGGTAGTTTTGAATTTGATTTGTACAGATGTATTCTTTTATTCCATCTCTAAAGTTTCCCCTCTGACACGCTGATGCAAATTTTAGAATATGTTTAATTCAGACTAATTTCAGATAATTAAAAGTCTGCTCATCATGTTGACATAATAATCAGCAGAGATAATATTCTGTAAGTCACATAAGATGGAGATGTGAATATTTGTGACATAAAAGTGCTGGCAGGTTATATCAGTACTATGAAAGTTTTTTTTCTTTAAAGGCCTGTATTAACAAAACTTAAAGGCATGTCATGTATTGCTTCTTTTATGGATCTATACCTGGTTAATAAAACATAAACTGCAAATGTTGTTGTCATGCAAGGAATTCTTACACCATCTATTTTAATCCACAGAACCAAATATTCTGGCACCATATGAAGACCTAAATGTCTGATCCCATCAAATCTGATATATGAAAGCAACTAGACAGCAATTCAACTAGGAAATTATTGGACAATAAGACCCTGTTTTGTAAAGTGCAAGACAGTTTCTGCTCCCATTCCTTCTGGTTGTAATATGAGGGAGCAGAATTTCAACAAGGTATATTTTGCTGAACACAGCTCCACTTTTCATTCAGTAGGAAAAATCCTTTTAGTATAAAAGAATTTTTAGCATAATGGGATGAAGCACATCAACAAAGTACCCGGGTATCATACCCTGAAGTCTCCATATGTTCCTTTAGAATAGGATCATTTAACCACAGGTGGAGGGTGGGCAGAGAGGGAGGATGCAAAGCTGTGCATTATTAGAACAGTTGAGATTTACACTTGATGAATTACAAGATATGACAACTTGGTCAGTATTATTTGATGCATTTTGAATTTGGTATTTGTAGCTATTAATAGCTTTGTAAATACTCCCAGATAGAAAGCCTTACACATCACAAAATGTTAGTGGTATAAGATTAGACATGAGCACCACAGCTGAATTTAATCATCTGGTCCATTTTCCAGGTATCACCACCATATGGATGCAAAATCCAGAGAACATCAGCAGAAATCCAGAAGTTGGAATTCACATTCATAGAAAGGGAGAGCTCTAAAATAATAGGTTCTCATTCGATTCATGTTTTTCCTTACAAGAAAATAATCCATCCTGACATTTTTAATCTTCCCTAAGTGCTCAGCAATACTTACAGCACTAAGACAGTTTGTCCATTGCCTGTTTCCACCTCCCCTAGATCCTATGCATTTCAAATATGAATGATTCTTTTAGATGTGCGATTTTCTTAAGGTTTCCTGGCTATCTCTCACCTGTTCCTAGACTTATCAGCCTTACACTTTTTCCTAATTTATTGGTCACTTGTTCTAGGGAATTATTATGTTCTACAGAATTGCTTATTCTACTCATGAGGTTGTATGTATTATTGGCATCTTCGCTAGAATTAATTTCACTTTTAGTTACATGTCCCTCTGGTGTTAATATTTTTTTGCTTTTCATTTTTAGAAATTCTATTTTCTACTTCACTGACTTATTGTTTCTTTCTGATTCAAAAGGCTGTATCTTTTTAATATCTTGTGCAATTTCTCTTTCAAAACTAACCTTTGGTTTTCTCATCAATTTAGTAAAACGGCCTAATAGGTCTTGTACTTCCTTCCAAGAAAACAAATGATCATAGTATAGATTTTAGGGTTTCTATCTACACTGTTGATATTTTTTTTTGCTGTCCTATAATCTTTACAGGAGGATATTATCAAGACAATAATAATCCAAACTTCTTATCACATTATGGAAATGTTACTGATTTTAGAATAAGTTTAGGTGAAGAAAGAAGAACATTGGGAGACAATAAAAAAAAAAAAAAGACACTGTACAGTGAACAAGAAAGCAAAGACTTAATTCTGGTGTCATAAAAAGTATCTGTATTTGTTTAGTTTTAGATGACTGTGAATCAGTAATTGTTTGATCAAGTAGACAAAATATGATATACTGCCATATAGATATTTCAGTCTAAGCACATCAGGAAATTGGTCACCATCATTCAATGCTTTATCCTGTATAGAAGACCACCACCAGGACTAAATCATTTCAGATTTCCTATTTGGAAACAGCATCCTCCTCATTGCCCTAAAAACCTTCTTAATTCCAGAAACATAGAGAAGCATTAGCAGTAGTGAAATACAGTTGTAAAATCTCCAAACTGGGCTCTGTTCAGATTGAAATGATAGTGTAATAGTAAAATACCACAATACTATTACAATAGTCTTTAGTTGTGCCAAACAAAATACGCTGCAGCTGAAGAAACTTTTATTTGAAGACATCTTCCTTGTCATGAGCAAATTACATGCACTAAGTGAACAAAAAGCAATAAACCAGCAGATCTCTGTATGAGAAAATCTCACTCAGGCATGTGACTTCTGACACAGAAAGGTGGTCTCTCAGCTGTAGGAAGGCTACAGCATACAGAAAACCATTAAACTTTCAGAAGGAAGAGTAATCAAAAAACAGAAACAGAAAATCTGAACAGTCATAATAACATGCCCCAGATTCTTTTCTCACTGCAAGAAACTCAAAATTATATTCTGTGTTGTTGTGTTTTTTTTTGTTTGTTTGTTTTTGTTTGCTTGTTTTTTTTTTTTTTGTTCTTTTTGTTGTTGTTGTTTTTCTTTTTTGTATTTATGGATCAAGTGTTTTCTCTTTTTATCAGTAAATCCTCCTACCCCCAAGTTTCTTGACTAGTCAGAGAAAGTCTTAGATATCCTTGAATTTCTCCATGTGTTTATATTGAATTAGATTAGTTGGCAAGAGTTTCTTTATCAGTCAGGAAAGTATCTAGCAGACAAGGAAAGAAATGGCTGAAAGTGCAAATAAATTACAGTCCCTTAATCTCTGCAGATAGCACATTTCCAGGAAAAAGCACCAATGTAATTTGTTCCCTCACCTTGCCTGCCTCTCCCTCAATGAAAAAGTAAAAGACTATAACTGAAAAGTTCCAAGCCAGATCAGTTAAAAAACATTTATAGGTATGGGATAGAGCCAGGAATTGTTCAGAAACTGAGAAGACATTCAAATTGCAAAATGAGTCATTAACATATGTAAATTGTTTGCTTAATGTGTGATATTGAGACATGCATTTAACTGTGGCTTCAGTGGAAAGCTTGAAGTCAATTTTAAAAATAAACATAGAGAAAAACTTTAAGTGGCATTCATAAGAAATAATGTACATTTGAAAGAAAAAATAGAAGTACAGGCAGAAGCCTGTGCTTCTTTTAATTACATTTATAATTAGATTTTAGTTAACGTGGAAAAACACCACTTCTCAGGAGCATATAGAAATAAATCTTTAAAGAGGCATCAGTACTGCCATATTCTATTTTTAAACATCTAGGAAATTTGGCATCCACCAGCAGTATTCAAAGCATTCAGCAAGCTGACTTGCAAACCACCATTGGGAAGAAGCAATTCCAAAGAAGTGACTCCATCATCCAGACGTAATAAAGTAATTAAATCTGTTCATGATATTCAAGCCTGAGTTGTCTCTTAGGATTAGTTTCCTATACCACAACATCCTTTTTTCAGGGAAAAAAAAAATATAGCTAGAAACATCTTTTACATATGCATACATAAGATTCTAATTAGGAAGGCATTCACATATAGGTAAGAGCCCTATAACATACTCAACCTGATTTATAATTAGACCCAAGCCCCTAATTAGATGTTCTGACACATATACTAGTCAAGGCTAGTCTTTGCCTTGTATTCCTCTTTCTTGGTCCTTCTTTTGCCTTTCTCAGGAGTTTTTTTACTAATCCAAAATAAAACCGGAGACATTGAAATATTAGAGGCATTGTTCACAATACAGACAATCACCAGACTGCTATATTCTTCTTGTTCTTCACCTCAACACCATGCTGTGCTTCTGAACAGGTATTTTGAAGATGTCCTTAGCACATACCTTAAGTATCACTGTAATTCATTAATGTGACCGGCTTAATGACAGCCCTAGGGCTGTCCATATCCCTCATGATTTTACAGGAACTAGTACTTGTCCTCAAAAATGAATTGTGTTTGGATTGTGTAGTCACTGAATGTCAATAGGTAGCTAGGAAGCTATTTTCATTCTTGCTTGCATTTCAATTCAAAATGTGTGAGGGTTTTTTAAGCATGAATTAACATGTGTAAGAAATTAAAAGGGCAACTGTTCCCCTTGGAGAGGTTCTTGAATTTCACTGGGTCACTGTTCCTTCAGCAATAGCGTGAAAAGAACACTGCACTTCTGATTTACGAGCCTTATGAGTTTTACAGACCAAAGCCCAAACAAAAGCCTCCCTCATGTCATTTCCTATGAAATGCTTCTACAGCCACAGCTTTGGCAGCACTGTGATAAGTGTTATTACCATAACAATTGCAACTATCAGTGGGAGAAATTGTCTGACCAGTGAAATTATCACGGGGGCAAAACATCTCCACAGTAAAGAACAGCATTTTAACTCCAAAAATGAACACATGAAACTTATTTTTGTTACTAGTTATTTCCAAACAATTTCTTTAGAAAAGGGTAACAAATGGTTTGTGCTACTTACAGTACAGTTTCAAGGCTCAGATGTCTTTTTTTTTTTTCAGATCTAAAAAGCAATGAAAATGTCAATTACATATAGCAAAAACAAAAAGTAATCTATCCAATACAGGTATCTTTCTTGGTATTGTCACAAGTTTGCCTCTTTATGTGTATCTAAACAGCCTGTATTTTTGTCTTCTGCCCTTGTGAACTTTTGCTGTGCAGTCATCCACTCAGAATTAGACTGGATGTTTCATAAATTTTTACCATTCTGGTTTCTATAGAGTATGATTTTCATTTGAACTCGTATTCATATACATACACACAGCTGTTCCCAGCACCCTACACTCAAAGGCATAAAATGCATAATGCAATATTTGAGGAAGATCAAAATCAAGAAAATACAAATAATGCACATACAAATCATCAGTTTCTCAAGAAATATTCAGTGTTCCTGCCTTGTAAACATTTTTTTATATAATCTATCTCCTTCTTTAATTCTTTAAGCCCTTATGTTCTGATACACATAATGATACACAACCCCAACATTTGTGAGAAATGTAATAAATTTTGAGTTGGACTGAATCACAGGCCTCAAATTAGGGGGGTTTGAAAACTAGAATAGACATCCAAAAGTTATGGTAGAGCCTAGAAGTACTGTTTACAACACCCCTTATAAAAACTTCCAGATATGGTGTTCTCTTGAGCTAATGAGATTCAATCCTACCTTTCCCTTCCCAGGCTTTCATCTAGCTGCTGTGAACTGCAGAGATTTGGGAACCAAGAGAGACGCAGGAAACTATTCTCCCATTTTTCTCTTAGAGTAGGACTTTTATCGAAGAAGTGATTTCAAATTCTGGAAAGTATTTTGTTCCAGAAAATATAAATTTTACCCCAATGCTTTAAAACTTTGGAGGAAAGCCCAAATCCTGAGTCTATATCAAGGACTAATTACACGCTGTATCTTTGTCTAGCAAGTATAGAATACAAAATGTATACACAACCTCAGAGCATAGAGTTTTACATTCCATGCAAGTACCTATTTGCAGGGAAAGTCATGTGCTTTCTATTTCTCACTCAGACACAGTAAATATTGAAACCTAACACAAATTAGCACAGCTGCAAAGATGCTAAGAGCTGACAGTGGCCAGCTGACTGGGAAGTCCTTAGGGAAAGTAGGTACCTACAGCCATGAGTGAGTGCTGTAGCTACTAAGAGTCTACTGTCACTCCTGCCCTATTTGCAGAGGAACATACTTTGAAGACAATTTCAGAAGAATTCTGTGATTTCAAGACCTGTTTAAGTATATTCATTTTTCTCTGGAGGAGTCCAACAGACAATGAGATGAGTTGTAGATGTAGGCCCTTAGAAATAATAGTATAGTGGATGCTGAACTACCAAAAAAAAAAAAAAAAAATCACTCAGCTGTGAATCTTCACCCTGAGTTCACTACCTGCCTCATTAAAAAATAAATAAATAATAATAATAAAAAAAAACTTAGTAGTGGCAGTAGTGCACATGGTTTCCTCATGATTGTTCTCCCTGAGGCTTTTCTACCTCCTGTAAGAGACTAAACAGTGAACCAGTCAGATAGTATGGAAATGACTGCTCGTCTGGTTGGGGAACTGCCAGGTTCTTTTTCCTGCTGTAGAGCACTCTATATCTGAAAACTGAGCACATGCCTCCCACACAGTAGCAGTACCTTCTAGCCCTCATTTTTAGCAGCTTGATTACTGTTGTGGATAATGTAGAAGGAAAAGAAATTGTCAAGTTTTTAATTATGCCTTACACGTACATGTAAATGAAGTAATTTAGTGATGGGTGCCTGGCAGGAGCTACCTATTCAATACAGCGAAATCTTCATCTAGACCAGGCAAAAATTAAAACAAAACAAAACAAACAAAAACACACACACACACACAGAAAACTGTACACACAATAAAAGCTGTAGAGCTTCGTTCCCCTGGGACACCTCTAGTTGAAAATCCAGATCTTAGCAGACTTTGGTACATCCCCAGATAGTCTCTTAACCTCCCGTTCTTAGCTTCCCCATATTGTTTTTATAAGGTCCATGACGGCTTTTCTAAGCCCATCCAAGTCAGGTTTTTCAATGTGAGTGATATGCTGCCTTCTTAATTAATCTTGCTATAGTCATTGTAATCAAATAAGTATCTCTGTCCAGGGTCAGAAGAAGGTCTGGAAAGACTGGGAAGCTGGGGTGACCCAGCATGTCTGTTTTAGGCGTGGTTTTGTGGTGTGTTTTCTTTTTTTGGGAGGGGGAATTTTTTGTAGTTAAAGAATGGATGCAAATTTTCTTTTCCACAATATTAAATGGAAAGGGAATTTATCCTGAAAGAATTCAATTTAATTAAAAATTAGATAAACTTGTTCTAAAACCCACATCACCCAAGAAACACATAACCACAGGCCCAAGACGAAATTATTTGAACTGTGTCTAAATGAATAACAGACTAGAAGGAGGCTGTTTCCACCAGCAACATTCTGATAGTTCACAAATTCTTTCCTTCACAACAGTCAAAATATAATAGGAGGGGATTTTAGAGGCATAATCACTTCCCCTGGCATTCAGTCATATGGCAATGTCAGAAACCACTTTGGAGGGCAGGCCAAGCCACAGGATTTGTAACCAGTCTGTCTGTAAATGGGTGGGTTTTATTTTAATGATAAACAATAACAGAAAAACTGAAACGCTGGCACTAATACTTCCTGAAGGACAATGATGATTACAACCCACTGTTCTCTGGCAGGGATTAGCTTCACAGCTTTGAGGAATTTCTGATATAATTGAGTAATGTGTCTCCAAAGATCAAAGCCAGCTCTGTTAGCGGGATGGGAGTTAGCATTAGAAACACCAGGAAAGAATAAATCCAAGTAAGCCAATTTTATTCACACGCACAGATCCAGTAAAGGTTTGCACAACATCATTTTTTTCCCCAAGCCAACAGAAATGTAAGAACACATGACTCTTTGCTAAGTAGGATCTTGAAAGAAATGATGTTGAGTAATCTGCACCTGATGTTCCTCCTCTTCTGATGCAGCACCACTTATGGCTTTGGTGTTATGGTAATCAGTTTCTTTCCCCTTTTCCTACATTAACAATTGCTTGACTAATTGAAAGATCCACTTCATTACCAGCCCTGCAACCTGCAATGATGTACCATTGGGTACTGTAGGAAATACCAAGTTCCTGTGAAGTTTAGCAGTTATTGAAATTTGGGCTGTTTTTCTAAGCTGGCTTGAGTCACTAACCATGACCCAGCCAAAAGAAAGTTCTTCCTTCAGATCCAAGAGGAGACCAACTAGTGTAAGATTCTGTGGTTTCCGTGCAAAACCACTTTAACTCTCTAGCTGAGCTGTGTTGGCCTAACTTTACTGATGCCACTGAAAAGCTGCTAATTTATATACCGATGTAGGCTCTACTGATTGGTGCTTAGAATCTCACTGGGGTATTCCTGATTCTTTTTACATCAACCTACCACATGCCTAGAGATTTAGGTGAAGACTTTTTTTTTTTTAAAGTAAGAAAAAGGTATATTGCTATACTGCTATCCATATAGTATCATCAGTCAGGATGTAATTAGAGTATTTTTGCATATGAGTTTTTTTCACAGATAGATATTTTTCTACCTATTTTGTATATGAACTCAGATGCACGTTAATCCTGTTCTGAAGTGGAGAGTGAAATGAAAGTCTCATTGTAAGTGCTAAATTATTATTACTACGAAGTCATCGTAGCTCTGCTTCATTCTGGGAATGCTGTCAAAGCCCTCTGCATTTTACAGATGAACACAAATGTCTGTGGTTGATGGGACTGTAGGCTCATGGTGGCATGTTAATTTCATTTAAGCAGTGTCTAGCACTGTGGTTTCTTGGCTCTAACTGTACATTTTTGGGGCACCATCTATTTTGTCAATTTTTTGTAATGTCACTTTGTTCATATAATTATATGTATTTGTATTGATAATAGGCCTAAAAATTGCACATCTTAATGAATGCTTGCCATCTCATATCGCACTGAAAGTCTTTCAAATCTCATTAAACTCTTTGCTTATTCATGAATGCTTATTTGTGAATTCAAATTCACTGTTTGCTATCAATATAACTGACTTAAGCCTTCAAAAGTGTGCTAAACGTATTTTTTCACTACCACCAAGGAATTACCAGCTGTAGGTAGCAAAGATTTAAGAGACCAAATTATAATAGGAACTAATAATGAAGTCCTCTGGAGGTCAAATACCTGTGCATGGGAGCTTGAGTTAGAGGGAGGGGACAGTGTTAGAACTGCCTGGGTACATCTACAATAGCTTCTTAGTTTGGATCAGTAGTTCTGAAGCAATTCTCCCAGTGGTCTTCAACTTGCCATAGTCATGGCATCACAAAATCCTCTCAAAATGGACTCCTCCATGATGAAGCTAAACCAAAGATGAACCCAAGGAAAGTGCCTAAAGAACTGTTACTGCTGTGGATGCTCAGTCCATGGGTCCAGATGGGAGCTAGTCCAGAGTAACACAGTCTGCATGGATACAAGCACCAACTGTTTCCTCTACAGATCAATTTCTACTTTCCAATGTATATTTTGTGGTTAAATGTAGAATAGATAAGTTAAATATTGCCTCAACCTAAGAGTATAGTAACCTCTTTCATCTCTCTAAGCCATTTTTTGCAAGGTATCAAAGTCTTTGTTAACATCCCAAGAAAGACAGAGAAAATCATTTAAAAGTTCAAATACACTTCAAAACACTACAGCCTGACTTGTATCTGTCACTCACTCAGTTTCAATATTGGAAACCTGTCGTAAAGTCTGGAGATGGTTTCTGAAGATCTCTACACAGCTGCTAACAACTTCTGCAGACATCTTAAGTTTTCAGAGCAAGAACTGCTGCCTGTCAGTGAGAGACAGTCAGTGTTTCTGACCTACTTTGTACCTTGAGTCATAAAGCCAAAGGCAAGACGAAGAAGACAACACAACACAAAACTACCCTAGTGTTCATGCAGTTCCAGTCCACTCTGAGGCAAGCTATGTTTGAGTTCAGTTACAGAAACTTGAGCTCCAAAATTCAGCTTCACTCTTTATTAATATGAATTGAGAAGTGAACTGGTGGCCACTCCAGCACATAAGTATATAAGGCCCACACTGCATGTGGGGGATATCCTGTACTGAGGATATTAATTCTGCAACTTAATGCTCCTTGTAATGTGACATAAAGCATCTGTAACTTGGCCAAGAACTTGGGTAGGTAACATTAACCTTGTAGGATAAATGTGATAAACAAAATTACGATGCAACCCACATCCTCACCCCTACACTTATCAGTGTTCACATTAACATCCTCACTTCGTTGTGAAAAATCAAGTTTGTAAATCTCTATCTTGATAGCATCTAACTTTCAGGTCTATTATCCCTACCATGACAATCAAGGACATTGTTGAAGTTTCAAATGTTTTCTTGGCTCAGTTTAGCAGCAAGAAAACCTGAGGATAATTAATAAGGTCAATACTGATTGGAATCTGCCAATCAGACGCAACAGCTAGTGTTTTTGGAGGAAAAGACAATTATCTCTTCTGATATTTTCATGATGCTAGAGAATACAGGATCACTTTTCATTAGCTGAACTTGAAGATGTCATTTGAGCTTTTAGAAGACCCAGACTTATTACACTGGATTCTACTAAAGAGCTGTTTTGCATCACTGAATCTCCATTAAAGGTCAACTGACAAGTCTGAAGTGCTGGTGAAAGAGAAATCATTAAATGTAACATTATTGATCAGTGTGTAATTGTCCCATTAAAATTCATGAAGTTACCAATGATTGTTCCTCTCCAATAAAAATAATTTACTAGGTGAGCATGTATTTGATGCTATATCATACTTTAGGGAATTTTACAAGCAGATTCCTTTTTTTTTAGTGGAAGTTAATTTCTATCAAGGGACCAGATAAGCGTGATACTTCTAGTTATCCAGTATTTCCACCTTT